TAGTTTGAGTTACCTTTGACAATTATCCTGTTCAACAGTCTTCGTAATCATCATACTTGTCCAACCGATGTCACCCTCACCTTGCAAATAATCAGCTCATCTCTTCCGTAGCTCCACTTCTCCTTCCATCATGACCAAACATCAGCATGTATCTCATTTTTTTAAGTATTAGAGCAATATCCATAGCCTGCGCAGTCATGGCTGCTAACATCCAGAGGTCATGACTTCGTATCATGCATAATGTACATGTACGGAGAGTTTGCAGACTATCTGTCAGTATCTCGTCCCCCCGGGATACCCGATAAAGGCTGCTTCAATCGTATCTTCTACTACGTGTACTGTATCAGTGTGAGGAAGAACTTTGAAGAAGACGAGTTTGAGCATACAATAATGTATTGCCATGATTTCTACCCTGCCTTTCGTTGAAAACACTGTCTGCATGACCTCCGAACCCTTTACCATGCAGGCCACCACAGTGATCAGGTGCATTGTACACAATTTTGTAGCCTACAATCATAATGAACTGTGATACTTCGAAGTACAATCGAAGTACAATCATGTAGTTATGCTCTTACCTCCGTAAGGATTGCAAATTATGCTCCAACATTTCAACCATCAAATTACGCCAACAATTATGTCGGCATAATCCGCCGTGGCTTAGCTTGTAGATATGTTAATTAAGGTAACAGCCTGGTAGCAGCCTGGTCGTAAATTTCATATGGCATTCAACGGACCATAACTTTGGTGTCTCTCGATGGATTTGAGGGGATGTTTCACCACACACTCCTGCCACTATGCTGGCCCTCTGGATATGATTTGACAGTTCTTTCGCCTCACTGACAGGCTTTCCAGGCCGTAAAAACTCAAAACGCCGGCATAGTGCCATGGTGTGCGAGTCACCCCGGAGCCAAATTAATGCATTTACATATTTTCACATTTTCTTGCCCATTCTGTCCGTGCGCGGGATCCAAACCTAAAAAAAGTCCGGAAGCAGCCATGCGTGGTGGGATAGGGCCCCTCAACGTGGCCCTGGTATCTGTCACAACGGCACGAGTGGGCGTTCTCACACCCGGCTCCCACAAACCCAAGTCAATTTTTGAATTTGTTTAGGTTTAGCACGTGCTACGAGGTCGTACCTTTGATACAACATCCAGTGCTGGGACCTCCACTGCGAGCCATTTCCACGCACTGCAAACCAAATCCAGGATACCCTCAAAAATCGGCAAAGACTACCACTCACGTTCCACTACTGCCTAGTACTGAATCCTACATGACTTCTTGACACGACTCAAACTTGCCAAAGTCACTAAATCAACGTCAACTACAATAATCAAGCCACATATCTGCAACGTCATGAGGGTGCACGTCGTTCTGTGAATCATCGTTCTGTGAACGCGTTTTCGGAGAACCGTCGGGATACTGATGTGGTGATGCTGCTGATTGCAAGTCACGCAACGGAAGGATACTTCTAGCTGACATGACACGGTACGGTCGTCTCCACAGGTTTCTGTTTCCTCGATGAAGCTTTCCTAATACTGCATTTTTGCACAAACAATTTTCTTTCCAGCTTCATTTTTCCTCTTTGTATTCTTCTTAGTTTGCGTTAGTCTCAATCATGCCATGACACAGAATCTCCTTATTTAGCGTCCACTAACTATTCTGAATCGACTGGCTGTCGTGTACGCAAGAAGCAAATTTACACGACGGTTCCTGCTGTTAGTACTCGACCTGCTCTGTTCATTGCCCCAATTTGTATTGAATTGTCAGTTCTATACATCATGCACATGTATGTTCTATCAGGAGTTCCCTGATAGTTGTTTGGATTGAGCGTTTTTCACGTCTACATGGCAGCAAAATTCCAGTACCCAGTTGTGTTTGCAGCAGTTACACCGTTTGTGCAATCTGTTTTTTATTGGCTTACCGGAAGGACCTTTTTGCTTCAAACGTTTTCGTTCCCATCTCCCTCAACCTAATGTCCCTCCGTAATCCTGCCCTCTGTACGGACAGCTTTGGTTCTCGTTCCATATTCAGGTGTTATTACGTTGTGTGTATTTTTATTCTGTACCTCGTACTCACTCCAGTACGTTAAAGGGGAAGTTAAGGCAAAAATTAAAATTTCACCAGTTGTAGTCTTCGGGGTGCTGAGTCGAATGGTCGTGGTCCGAGGAAGCTGAGACGCTCCCTTCCTACTTGAATCCCAATCGAACTCGCGCACTTCCACCGAAACTGGGTGACTGCGCCCTACGAGATGGGGATTTGTATGCAAAATGTCACTAAAAGCGCCATTTCGTTCTTATAAAAGCACGGATGACCGCGATTGGCCCATATGTTGTAGTCTTTTGGACGCTGAGTCGACTGGTTTTGGTCGGAAAAGGCTGCGATGCAGCGTTCCGCCTTTATTCCCCATCGAACATGGTTGAACAAGCGGTCACGTGCTCCTGCGTACGCCAGTCACCTGGTCACCGTGCCTGCAGGGTACAACTTACTAGCCTGTTTCACCTTTTTTGGGTGCAGTCCTGTCACTCGAGTTGAACTCGAGTTGAACCTTGGTGTGAAAGTTGTCACCTGCTGGCGTGGTGACCAGGTGATTTGGGCACCCAGGACCACGTGACCACTTGTTCAACCATGTTCGATTGGGAATAAAGGAGGAACGCTGCATCGCAGCCTTTTCGGACCAAAACCAGTCGACTCAGCGTCCAAAAGACTACAACATATGGGCCAATCGCGGTCATCCGTGCTTTTATAAGAACGAAATGGCGCTTTTAGTGACATTTTGCATACAAATCCCCATCTAGTAGGGCGCAGTCACCCAGTTTCGGTGGAAGTGCGCGAGTTTGATTGGGATTCAAGTAGGAAGGGAGCGTCTCAGCTTCCTCGGACCAAGACCATTCGACTCAGCATCCCGAAGACTACAACTGGTGAAATTTTAATTTTTGCCTTAACTTCCCCTTTAAGTTTCGGTCTTGAACTGCATAATTCTACTGCCGGCACTATGTGCCTCACAACGTTAGGTGCCTTGTTCTGTCATGCTGGACCCATTTGACTGTTTCCAGTAAGAGAAGGGATAATTGTTTTAGCTGTTCTGCCAATGACATCTTCGAATAATAATGCTATGTCACAATGTCACATGACATCATGTGCAGTACTTTTCTACACCGTCTTTTCATGACTTTGTAGGTACGGTTCGTGATGCCATTTCATCCAAACAGCCAGATGATGATAACATTGCAAACCCCAAATGTACTTTTGTTACAGTGCAACTCACAGAGTACGTGCCCAGGTACGACATACACCTGCTTAGCAACTTTTTCCACTTCCCGAGGTGTACATGTACATTTTTCCGAGTTCCCACTGTATTTGGGGAGGTAAGCAGAGGACGAAAAGCATATCGAGGACTAGTTACGTCATGCACGCTGTGCTTCCGTTCCATTGACATCCTGTGTGCGTTAGGTGAAACACACTGGTGCGATTCTCAGCAGAAGAATTGAGAGGTTCCTGCAAACAAATGCGGTTTATTTCCGCACCGCAAGTGCAAGCATGAATTACCTTCCGGACAATGGAAACGTTCTACTATGTAGGTGCATAACATACGAATAATGTGCCAATTCTTCGGAGAGCTTCGCCGCACTGCAAGTAAATTACTGATACCTGGATTCCTAAGGTACCTGGCAAGCTACCGAAATACAACACACATTTAATAGATACCAAAAAGAGGTTGTTTGCTTGATAATCCGGCGCGTGAGGCTCAACATACTGTAGCGTTGTATTCGAGTATGGCTGTATCCATTCAGGGCACTAGCAATTGCGCGTTACGGCGCACTCCACAGGACTCGGTGTTACATCTTTCCATGACTTAGTCGTAGATCAGGGATCTATGTGGTTGCTATTGTATTTTAAATAACCCAGTGCATCGTGATATTGGGGGTTTCAAACAGAATTTCGGTTACTGTTTTGTATATCGCACAATTGCATCCATTTTACCGATCAACCTGGTCTCCGGGACTGTGGTTCTGATTTTGATACTTGATCCACTCGATCAAATCCGCCATGATTCCGTCTCGTGACGGGGCGGTCGGACCAGGGTGGGTTGGAGTGATATCACCATGGTGGTAGTTAGGTCTCTCGAGTACGTTGTAGACGTCTCCAACTTCAGTCTGGTTTCGGGCTTTTATTGACGTTTACACGGGCAGGAGGAGCTCCAAAAATTGTACAGCGAATCCTTTCCATAGTGTTGGTATAGCCGAAGGAAACCTGCCTACATAATTTAAGGCAAACCAGAAAGAAAAATAGCCAATCATATCCGTCTCACTCAGACATGCTCGCAGTAAATGATTTCCATTTTATTTTTTTCAAAGATGCCCATTACCGCCTAAGTAGTGAAATGACGAAACGCATGACTTGATCGAGGTGGTCATCATTCCGTTTCAGAATCACAATCTCCGTAGACCGGCACATACTGGAAGCCGATACTGCCCCTGAAAACGGATTGCGAGCTAAGCATGCCAACTAAACATTCATACTGTACTTGAATCATGTCTGCTTAACACATGCACCCGTTACCAATCAATGATGGAATGAGCACGTTCTATATCGACTCATTTCCTCGTGCCAAACGTCCGCTCTTCAGTTACCACTGGCTGCATGCCGACCAGGCCCGCATTCTCTTTTGCTTGGCTGTGCTTTGGTCTACATGTCCATGTACTATTACAAAGGCAGAAGAGAACTGAGAACTGAGAACTGAGTTCTCTTCTGCCTTTGTGGTAATGCTCCATCCTTGTAGTGTTGAGCACTCTAGGCAATCTGGAAACTTTCGCTATTGTGTTCATGTACTATCATGTACATTTAACCTCATCGCTGTTCTGTTCTGAACACAGGCGTCATTTCAGATTTGAGCAAGGTCTTAGTTGAGGCCAAGGCTACGAGTCACCCTGTTTCTGAGATCCGTCTGGGGATTCTAACGTTCATATTGGCCTCTGTGATGTTTGCGTGGTGTGGGCAGGACGATCGCTGGCTAGAAACTCATTAATTGTATCGTTCAAGTCGAGGCGGGGCACTGCCGAAATGAGTCAGTCCAATATGGAAATGAATATCACCGTTTGGGTATTTGCGATCGTGTTGATAGTACTAGCCGAGTTGGCGGGCAGGAATGGAGGAACGTCTTCTCCGAGGTCAACTACAGCCCGTGCAATTGCAATACCGCAGTATGGTACGTTTTAATATGACTTGTCTTGTTAATAAAGCGTCTTATTCCCAGCATACAATGGACAACTGGAACAGGCAGGTGGAATAACATTAATTTTATTCCCGTGGATATGGAAAAGAAAAAACCATCAAAGATAGCTGGCCACGATATTCAAATAAGGATTTCAAATACAAGATCATAACGTAAAGCAACTTGGAAGAATGAGTATGGATGCGAAGTGTATCGGGGGATACATGCAGGGCGATAGTGCGTTTTCGAATCCTAGGTTATGTCTCGAAAAAAGGAGAAATGAAAAATTTATAAAATCCCTATCCTTTTTTGCCTAGGTCATCAAGGTGGTAGACGGTGTCGCATTACTCTCGAATGCAAAGAGAAAGTTTATATAACCTAATAAATTCTGGAATTAATGTCTTGCCCCTAACTCATATTTAAACCGATTGAAACGTTTTTGCAATACAATGTTGTAGCCAATCAATGGAAAAAACATTTCCAATAACATGCATGATGAGCTAGGCATAAACGCATATCGTAGAGCCCTGAGCTTCCAAGCTCTCTCTCTCTCTCTCTCTCTCGCTAGTGGAGAGAAGAGACGGAGACAATGACGAACGAAATGACAACATTATAGCCGGGGAAGAGAGAGAGATATACAGTCAGGGCGAATGCAAGACTCTTGCATTCGCCCTGACTCTATATCTACACGGAGACGGAACGAAACGAAGCAAAACGGAACGAAAACGCGCTGCCCGCGAATCATTTCCAGACCATTTACACGAGAACAGCAAATCGTTTTGAACCGTGCACACAAAAACGGACATCAAGCTCAAGTGGCACGTGCTGGCCTGGCGCAAGGGCGAGAAGTAACACGCTAGTTGGAGTTGGCTAGCTCTTGAACCCTGTTTGTGCACTTTTTTTCTTTTTTTACTGTTGAACACTCACTGCATGATGAACTAAAATGAGGAGGAAAACTCGACACAATGAAGAGTGATATTAACTAGTGGCAAAAGTAACTCAACTTATAATTATACTGGGTTATATAGACAAAGGGCGACAGTTCCCAAACTGAGCTGTACCTAGATTCGATTAGTGCCCCCAGTCTATCCATCCGTGGCTTTCTACCTCCTCTCTTTCTCTCTCTCCCTATCTCTCTCTCTGTCTCTTTCTCTCTCTCTCTTTCTCTCTCTCTCCCTCTCTCTCTATCTAAATCTCTCTCTATGAAATCAAAAGCGAATGCTGCGGTATTGGGTTTGTTTAATCGTAATGTCATTATCACATGTTGGAGGCACGGTATGCCGCATGTACACTGTTTTAACAATCAAAATGGTGCTTGTGTATGGCCAATCAGTGCGTGGTCAGGTCTGAGCCACTCCAAGCCGCTTTAATCCCTATGTTCGTTGCTTCCCTAGGATGAGGAAATGTTACTGTCTCTGTGGCTGCGTTTGCACGGGGACGGAACGAAACGAAGCAGAACGAATCGCAAACGCGCTGTCCGCGAATCGTTTTCAAACCATTTACACGAGAACAGCAAATGGTTTGAACCATGCACACTAAAACGGACATCAAGCTCAAGTGGCACGTGCTGACCTGGCGCAAGGGCGAGAAGTAACACGCTAGTTAGAGTTGGCTAGCTCATGAACCCTGTTTGTGCACTTGGTTTGAATATTTTCCGTGCGATATATTCCCGTTCGGAATGGGCTCCACGACCGGGTTTCGTTTCCAATCGTTTTCACTGTTTAAACAAGAACGAAAACGTTTTTGAAAACGTTTCAAAATACTTTGAAGTGCGTTTCCATTTCGTTCCGTTCTGGGATGCGTTTCCGTGCATTGTTGGGTAAACGATAAAAGTAAACGCAACGATGTGCTTCCGTTTCGGTCCTACTTCGTTGTCGTGTGAACTCAGCCTGAAGCTACTGTAACTGCGAGATGCAAAAATTGAGCCTCAAAATCCCATCCAATGTTTGAGCATTTTGAGTTATCTATACCATGACATTGCTGTGCCCCAGCAGATCACTCTGTAAAAACCTAGGTCCAAAACCTTTATCTTTCACAGAGTTATGGGTGCTTTTATTTATTTTTAGTGATTTATAACTATATCGCTTTATACAGAAAACTCAACTTTCAAATGCATTTTTTAATACTGCGCCAAACGACATAACCCCCCATTTCGGATCTAGAGTCTCAAATATAAACAAATCTACTTGTATCTAGTATCATCATTCATAGCATACGCATTTCAACTGGGTGTGACTGTATAGCATACGGAGACACGATCCATGCAACCAGTCTCCTCCGTTTTTATACCTCCAAAAACTGTAAAATTGATTGCAGTGTATTGTCTACATCAGTAAATCCAGTGACAGGGGACGCTAAAATTTAATGTCTTACAAGTAATAATAATATTAACACTTCAGGAACTTGGACTACGTGTGCACCACCTGCTAAAACCAGAATGAGAGTCTCACTAAACGAGGTTAAATTGGATAGTGGCAGTGATCCTTGCTCGACGACTGGCTGGCTTGCTGAACCCGTCAATAAAACACTAACTGATTGCCTCATAAATGCGTTAAAAGGGACCACCTCTCCACAGATCACATCCGTGTGGGTTGGTCTACGCATGCATCTGTGTGCGAGTTGGAGTTGAACACATTCTGCTGGAGGAGCCCCAAGTGTTACTCGGAACGGTTTTGCAAAAGTCTCCGCCACGTACATGTACATTCACGGGATGTATAAATTTGAGGCCGATTATTGTGGCACATCGAACTACTATATGTGCCAGGAGTTTCTTCATTGGCTAAACATGTTACTATGCCTAGAGACAATAAAACTGTACACCAGTTGAGTTAGCATTGAACGAGAATATTCTATCAATCCAGTTAATTCTAAACTAAATCAAAGCAGTACTGTAGACATTTCCGCTGACCCCAAAGTGCTGGTATTTATTACCCTTGGAGCCGATTGTGTTATAGAGGAGAGGAGCATCCAGTAGAATAAATGGGACATGTTTGTTGTATCGGAATACGTCGGCGAAGTCAGGACTAAATATTTTGAAATACTCACATAATGTCGAGTCATTACTGGTTTGGCCCGCCATTATATCATGAACATTATATCTGGCTGTATCCAACAGTTGTTGGATACAGCCTGTCCCACGAGCTGGTTACCATACATTGTGTTGATCTTTTCACCTTTTCCCTCATAATAGACCAACCGACGTATACAATCCCATCAAATGAGACATCAAGTCTCCAGTCCACAGCCACTTCCGCCAATATGAACATGCCCTCCATTAATCCGACTCTGGCTAAAACTGCCCGACCTTCAGCGCAGCCTACCACTACAACACAAGCATCGCCATCATTTTCAGCGTCACCAACCACACCAATGTTGCAAACCCGAAAACCGGCACCAACCATCTTGTCATCGGTGGGTGGGAATCCGCCAAATGAGGCAATACGTACGTGGAACGTTTTTTGTTTAATGGAAATAGTGGAGGAGTTTCTTCAAATACAACCATGCCAATAAATTATAAGGGAACTGGTACATGTATAGCATGTATATAGCTTGATCTAATAATGGCAGGGCCTGCAAGGTTTACAACATAGTTTCTCTGTTATCTATGACCATGGTAGGTGCAGTCCATTTTCTCATATTGCAACTCTCTCAAACCACTGGGTAATCATCGTACCGTTGAGTTCTTATGTGTACACGACGCAGCTCTTCTCTCAGTAAACACTATGAAGTAACCGTTGGTGGATATTGCCGGCAGAAAAATCGACAGAATTTGGTACTTTGTCCGGTATGTTTCATGCATGTTTGGTATGTGGATGAAGAGTACTAGCAAATTTCGGTGAATTGCTCGCCATCAGTTTAGTATGTTTCTGTCGATTTCACTGCTTATCGAGCCGAATCTGCCAATTTGTCGAGCATTATAAGCCAACTGCTAGTTAGTGGAAGGCGAAAATCTGAAGTCGGTCAGTTAACTAAATGCTACCGGTTTGATATGCAGTCTTCCTATCCTGTGTACTCAACTAGCACTTGTCCTAGTGTTGGTGCGGTGAATGTGTTGGGTCGAAGAGTGCACGTGTGTCGTTGGGAGGTGGAACTGTACTGATTACGATCGGGCCAAACGTTTCTTCCTGACGTCGATCAATAAAACATCCCTGGTTAGGACTTTACATGTATTTTCATGAGGAAGATCAATCAAGATCAATCAAATTTATCGAATGAATGATCGGATGAACATGTTTAACTGCACATCTGTACACATACACTGACCTACAATCTGCTCTATCTTACGTAGTGGGATTTGCTAATATTTAAAACACTTCCACAGGCCTGGTCCAGAGCCTGGTCCAGAGCTAGTCGGATACGGAAAAACGATGAAAGTCGGAATGGACTGTTTTACTGTGTTGGAAAAGAGAGGACAAATTGTGCAGGAAACATGCTCAGACTTAAAAAACTTACATGTAAATTCTTACAGTGTCTACAGAACAATTCTTCCTCCTTACTGTAATGTCAGAGCTGTCATTTCCACAACAATTGTGTTAATGTAATGAGGCGGAGCCCTTTTTCTCCCAATTTTGTGCCTCTCGTAGGGGTAGTGAGCAAGGGCAGTTCATCGGGGGTGGTGATTGGCGTTGCGATTGGGTCGTATGCAACTGGCTTCATCACGGCGGCTATGGTTATCAAGCTCTACCTACGCAGCAGATCAAAGACGTCCGGACCAAAGGATGGATCACAGCTTTGCCATGATGATGTGCATAGTAGTATTACTGAAACGCCAGCAGTCATGACGGAGAGTGAGCTGTACGGGAACAGAACAGCAGAGCCGGAGCAAAACAACTGCGGCGAGGGTGTGTACATAGATATTGCTTACTAAGCGCAAGTAGATATTGCTGAAGAGGTGCCACACGAATCTTAACTTACACCATACACTGAAGTGTCCTTTTCTACTTGTTGCATGCCTTCTACAAACACTGTTCTGTTTTCCTTGCGCTGTTTCAATCACCTCGCTAAAGGCTTAAGGCTTCAAAGTACACTTGTGGAAAACTTTTAAGATGATATTGAAGAGCTTGAAGTTTGTCTTTTTCTCTGTATTTGCGTTCTTTTTTACGAGGAAACTGTTCTAGCACGGTTATTGTAAGATAATTGTATGGTGCTCCATTCAATTCTTGAAACGCGGAGTGATGAAATCCCTCATGTTCGATCTTCCATTAAATGTGTGAACTTTGTATTTTAGACTTTGGCAACTTGAGTCCTCTACTGACGGCGGATGAACCTCACATTGTAATTATCCACTGTAATCATGCATGTATTGACCTAAATTTCGCCAGTTGTGTTTGTCACCAGTTTTTTCTATTTTCTATGACCTCGCATTGCAGCTATATTCACCAATTGCCACGCGTCTTTTACGGCAACACGACTGCATCGCATTTCCAGCTTCAACCTGCATGTCTTGCTGAGTACTTGCAGTCAATTTAAGCATCAAATACCCATGCTTGTAATCAGATCCTACTTGTAAGAGGTTGTTGGGTCCTTCAGTTTTGTTGCATGCTTACACATATTATTCGTTTGGAATAGAGTTTGTGAGTGTAGTTTGTGCTCTGCTCCGGGACCAGCGGAACAAGTTGTCACCGAAAACACTCAGCTGACATTATAAAAGCCTAATGTTTGCCAGGTAGAAGTTCTAATTTTCCTTGGAAAATGCTGAACAGATACCTCATGATTCTGTCTAGCTGCAGAAATAGGAGAAAGTATGCTAAGCAGAAATAAAGATAGAGCACAGTGACATAATGAATGGGAAATGTATTGCTAAAGTGCCACACCAGCAGGCTGAAATACTAGTAACAAAACGGCTTGGAACTGAAAAGGTCAGGGAGAAGAATTAGAGGGTTCAATGCAGATCATCTGAAAGAGAGCAACATCTTGCTACCAATGGAACAGCACTGGTCTAAAGCAAATATCCGGATGCAGTGCTGCCAGCCAACTGGGTCTGCTTTGCATACTGCCACTTCTGATTTTGCAGCCTTTCTGTACATGTACTACCAATGTAATGTCTTGCGCATTGCTTGTATTGTGTTTACACTCGCATGCTTATCAGTGGCTGAATTTGCTAGGGCAAAACATTTGCGACTTGTACCAGGACATTGTATGTTGTGCTACAAGCAGTCGAAGCATGGCATGCACCTTCTTTGGCACAGGGATATTCATCGCTCAGTTGGCGCTTGCCATGCTTCTGCATACATAAAATCGCAAAACCTAAACTTTCAGACTGAAGGGAAGGCAATACGAGTTAAGGCAGTACGTTTCCATACCCATCTGATCAGTTGAGATTTGTGTAATTTTGTTAAAGTTCAATTCACTGAGTACGTACCCAGGTACGACGTACACTTGCTTATAGTCGATTCATACTACGGACAAAATCACGTGTAAACTTGAATTTCCATTGTAATGCAGTCGGGTTTCAAAATGTTATGCACAATCCCTGATCAAACCCATCTGAGTCGTAGAAACGTGGTTGCAGTTGGCCATAGTCTGACGTACACCTTCTTAGTACTGTTTCCACTTCCAGAGGTGTACATGACCACCTTATCCAAATTCCACTGTATTTGAGGAGATAAGCAGAAGACGAAGAGCATATCGAGGACTAGCCATGTCATGCACCCTGTGTTTCCGCTCCATTGGCATCCTGTGTGCGCCAGGTGAAACACACTGGTGAGATTCTCAGCAGAAGCATTGAGAAGTTCCTGCAAACAAAATCCGGTGATTCCACACTGCCAGCATGAGTTACCTTGAGGACAATGGAAACGTTCTACTCTGTAGGTGCAGAAAATGAGAATAATGTGGCATTTACCCGAGGAGCTTGGCGGCACTGCCATTACGCTAATGATATCTGGATTCCAAAGGCGCCTGGTAAAGAGTTATAAAGAGTAAATTATCGCATCCGTTCCCGAAGGAAACTCACGACGGCCGCTAACACCCGATAAACCCTAGCGGCAGATGCACCTGGTAAGCTACCGAAATACAGCACACACAATAATATCTCTTGCGCGTGACGGTGCACTCCACAGGACTCGGTGTATCTTTCCATGATTTAGTCGTTGATCAGGGTTATAATTATGTGGTTGCTATCGTCCTTCAAATAACCCAATCCATCGGGATATTGTGGGTTTCAAACAGAATTTCGGTTACTGTTTTGTATGTTGTGCAATTGTATCCAAGGTATCAGTCAACCTGGTCTTCAAGATTTTGAAGCTGATTTTGATGATCTATCAACTTTAAATTCCGTCATTCTGCGTTGTTGTTGTCTTTGAAGTATATTTTACGTCGCATAACAAATAGGCGGTTTCGCCTCCTTTGATACCTGTGAACGACAGAGGGCGAGAGAGAAAGGGAAGAATTTTGTCACAGGGCAGTTTACGCATGGTTGAGTGAGGTGATGTTCGCATGGTGGTGGTTTGTTCTTAGATCCGTTGGAAACATTGTAACAGTTCTTGGTTTAGGTCCCAAACATAAATCAAACATAAATCGTTTCTTTTGTCCTTTTCGAGCTACACACCATTTCCGAATTTGTTCGTGAGTTGTGCACGGAATGCATTGCTGTTGTGATCGGAAATGGAATCTAATGAAATGGAACAGGGAGGCTATTCACCCTTTTCTAGTTTCTCAGAAATGCTTGTTTTCAATTGAATATGATGGAAGCCTGTTCCCCAACAAAAGCGGTTGGCACCTTGTCAACCTTCTGCAAAAAACGCTACTTGAGTCTAAGCTAAGAATTGTAGTGTGTTCATCTCTCCGCAGTCGCCCCTGACTTTTCTAGAGACTGCCCTCGTCACTGCTTCCAACATGCGTTAATCCTAGAGAACGGCTAGAATTTCATGAACCTCCTCACAAGTTCATGCAGAGAATCAGGTAATAGAGAGGTAAAGCTGCGTTCTTTCAGACCTGACATACAATTTCACGTCAAATTTGGCGTACAACACCAAATATATAATGCCTCAAGCCCAGTGAAAGGGCGCTAGGGTGGTTTGATTGTACTTTACACATCAGAATTCGAAATTAATTTTAATATACAAAGTCTAGCCATGATAACAGATCGATAGCTATTAACTTATATTTTACTGCTGCTGACTTCATATTCGGAGCCAACTCTGCTAAGTAACCGTTGATACCAAGAGTACATAGCCCCCCAGATTGTGCAACGCCTGATCCAACTCTGCATAGGGTGTTGGTCGAGCGGAATCGGATCTTTGCGTCATAATACCGTACACATCTGAGGGGAACATGGGGAGTCGCGGGTACTCTTGGATCAAAAACAATGGTGCCCTGCCTCGAAACGGCCTTGCGCTGGTGTGGAGTGTACGAATGACATCAGAAGATCCTATTCCGCTCGCCCAAGACCCTATGCAGAGCAGGATCGGCGTTGCACACTCTGGAGGCTATGTACTCTTGTTGATACCAGAGACCTGTCTGCTAACCAGATGCACATCTTGCCAGGACAAAAATGGAATTAGAATGTTCTGTAGCCGCTCAATTGCCTGTGCAAACATCCGCTTATCTGACTCTTGAGCCTGGTGTGTCTGTGTCCTGCAAAGCACGGTACTGTCTACTGGGCGGCTATGTATACACTAGAACACTTGATGCATGTGTCAAATTTAACCATAATACTGTTTCCCTTGCTGTTCAGATCAGACCCCATGTAACACTGAGCGATATCTAAGTTCTGGCCATCCTGATTGGCTCTCTTTACGAAACACTCTACGGCCACAGACATTTATACTTTGCTTTGCATCTACCCGGTTTTTATCACTTTGATGTCAATTCACTTATCTCTCGATTCCCTATTGGATTGTGCTGAACTGAGTCATGACAGGGATGTGTAGCGCAATTAGGAATTCTACGATCGCCTTTGTTGTGATCATAGCGAGGGTGCTTGCCATATCACCACCCTCAGGAACACCTGGAAAGTCATGTCCTTCTTCACCGTTCGGCTATGGTATGTACCCATACATGACCGGCTTAGAACGGTTTCTAAGGTCCATGCGATCCATTATAGATTTGCGTGTCAACGTTTCGATGTTTGAAACCCCATTTTTCGTTTGCATTGAGATAGTGTCAGCTGCCCACCATCGTAGTTATGAAGTGGGAATAAAAAAATTAGAAAATAAAAATTATCGTGTCCGTTCAAGAAGGGAACTCACGACGGCCGCTAACACCCGATAAACCCTATAAACCCTAGCGTTTATGAAGTGGGAATATAACCACAATAAGTTATAAATGCTACCTTCTTCCGATCTTTCTGTACGGCGCCACTGCTTGGCATTCCCTGCTTCGTAAATCTGCTGTACGGGTACTGGAAATACATCATAAACGTGTGTTGAAAAATATTTTTGGTGCACCCTGTCTTTTCCACTCTACTGATCTATATGGTTTTGCCTCCACCAGCCCCATATCTATTCTGTCGCAGAGACAGTCATGCGTTCTGTTCCATCGTATTAGACTGAACATTGTCCCGGAACATCTCAGCAAGTATAATTGGTTTACTTTTGCACGGGACAATCACAATGGCACAGCATTTCCCAGAGCTTTGTCAACTATGTTTACCAAATTTTTTTTCTACAAAATCCACCTATCTCCAGACACTGGGGTGAACGATGGAGTGTGGTGGTGGGGCCCATTAAGCTCCGCCGACCAGAGGTCTCGGCTTCATAGCTCCATGGAAATCCCCCATCTTTTCTGCGTATTCGTATTGGCTCAACATGCCCATGGAAATGAAGACAATATCCAATATTAGACAGTTCAAAGACCATGTTAAATGGCATGCCAAGTTGTAAGCTCAATCGCCTCTACTGCTAGCCTATCTCGCTACTATTCACCATGGTCAACATAGTGATAAATTTCACCCCGCTGATGCGTTCTTTTCTTCTTTCCTTTTTTCTTTCCTTTTCCTTCTCTTGCCATGGTTGGCTAACGCCCCCTCCTTTGCATTGGCGTCTGCCGTTGGACGGTGAAATGAAAACAAATAAAAAAGCCGAATGCAGGGTGAACGACGATCTCTATCATCACCCTGATACAGTACATGTATTATCCCCCCCCCCCCCCGCATAATCCAAGACCTCTGCTCCCTAAAAGACCAGCCGCAGGTCTCCTGCATCTGTTTCTTCGACCTCTCCAAGGCCTTCGACACCGTGTGGCACAAGGGCCTGATCGCCAAACTTCGTGCCCATGGTGTCTCCGGCTCCCTACTCGCCTGGATAACTAGCTACCTCTTGGACCGAAATCAGTGCGTCACAGTAAATGGAACCTTATCTGACCCCGAGTCTGTGACATCCGGAGTGCCCCAGGGCTCCATTTCAGGTCCCCTGCTCTTCCTCACATACGTTAATGACCTCCCCTATGCAATTCCCAATATTTCTTTGTTTGAGGATGATACCACTGTCCTTGCTTCCTCCTCATCTCACGCCACCCTGTACCCCAAAGGTTAGACCTGTATCAACGACATT